GTAGTAGTAGTAGTAGTAGTAGTAGTAGTAGTAGTAGTAGTAGTAGTAGTAGTAGTAGTAGTAGTAGGACTAGTAGTAGTAGTAGAACTAGGAGTAGGAGGAGTAGTAGTACTGGCAGCAGTAGCAGTAGTAGTAGCAGTAGCAGTAGGAGTGGTGGTGGTGGTGGTAGTAGTGGTGGTGGTGGTAGTAGTATTATATGACTATAGCCTTCAGCAGTACCGTTGGTGATTGAGATTATTTAGTCTCTTACCGTGTGAAACCACGAGTCAGCCTGCCCAATGCTCAGGCTGGCTGAAGAGGTCCTTGCGATGTGACCACTGCAGACTGCGGGCTTCTTCCAAGCGATCATCACCGGATGCAACCGGCACGTCCATCCGAAATTGGCTACTGGTAGGACACACATAATCTTACAAACTTCCCGGAGCAGAATGCTGGAGAAGCAAAGTCTCTTTTGGAGCATGTTTCTGTTGTTTTGAAACTCCACCGGGCTGAAGATTTCTCTGAGGCAAACCTCAGGGTTATTAGTCAAGATTCTACATTACCCCCCAACACCTGGAAAGAATTGTTAAGCCCCAAACAGGCCTCTAAAGGAGACCCGTTGGAGGTTTCTTGAGGTTAATTACTTTAAACTCTTACCCGGCGGATCCCAGTGGGATCTAGGACTCCCACAATGTCATAGGTCACCGTTCCGACGAATGAACCGGCGCTGGGACCCAATGCCGCCTGGGGAATCCATGCGGATGATGCTCAACATCTGCACGCTAAACATCTTTCCGCCCCTGCCCATCCAAAGCACCCTGGTCACATGCTTCACTCCCCAAAAAACAACAGCGATGAACACCACCAAGATTTCTAAAGGTTTCTGGTGCTTCATGGTGCCACCTCCATCCTCCTCCATCCCAAGCCCCACTCAGAGTGGCCGCCCTTTGGATCAGTCAAGGCGCTGAAACCACTAAAAGCTTAGAACTTCGAAAGGCCTCGGCCCTCGCAGCCTCGAAGCCGCCCTCGAAGCGCGTGGGGCTGGGCACCTCCTCGCAGCGTAGGCGATGTTCAGGTCGAAGAGCTGTAGCTTCTCGAAAAGGCGGTTGTGAAATGCCGTTGACAAACATGTTGCAACATTGAATATGTCGAATTCATATCTGTAGGACAGGTTCTTGTTTTGGGGTGACATGTTGTATCAAGTGAGTGTAGTTGATTGTAGACTTGCAGGTTTGCAAGAAGGTGTCAACAAGTTCTCTCTTGTTCTAAGGCTTTACCTATATCGCCAACGTCCAACAAACTAATCCAATCTTTCACACAATTCTAATATAATGTGTCTGCGTGAGCAAAGAGGTTTATTATACTGCTCACACTACGGCTCACAGAAATGGTGCGCCAGCATATTAAACAATATTTACACATAAAAACAAAGCATATTTAAACCATTCTATATTAAAAAAATAAACACTTGCAAATGATAAACACTTGCTAATTCCTTTCATCTACTGTCCATTCTTTCCATCCTCTTCCACCCCCGAGCTCGCGAACGCTCCCTGGGCGTTCGCGAACGCTCCCCGTCTCGTTCGCTCCGTCTCTCTCCTGTGCACTCACCGGCTCCAAGGTGTCGATATCCAAGATGCCCGTGGCTCCGTCCTGGGCACCGCGAGCAGCCGTGGCGTTTGGGCGAGCTGCGGCCTGGTGGGGTGCCATGGCCAGGGCCTTAAGTGTCCTTACTGTAAGTGGCTTGGAGTGGCTGGGTGAGGTGCAACTGGAGCCCAAACAGGTCTGGAAGACTTGTTACTGTTGATGACCCGTGAATTTGTGGAAGTTTAGGATCCAAAGAACAGCTAGGGTGAACTTTCAGTCTTCCTGGACTTGATCCAGTCCATGTAGATATAGGTCAATTGCTGACCCTGTGACTTTTTTTGGGGTCTACCGGTCTACCCGAACGAAACTGCGTTTGAGACAAGCGTCCCCGAAGTGGCAATAGGCTTGTCGCCCATCCACCAGCTCGACCCAGCAGTAGCCTCAGCAGCTCGACCCAGCTTCAATGCACTTGCCGCGAAGCTTCACAAGCCTAACATCTTCAATCCTCGGCCACAGGAGGCCGGTGGCTCTCTCTCTCTCTCTTTTTTCTCTCTCCCCCTGGCTTAGCGGTGTCTCAACGCCTCCCAGATGAACTCTGAGTCTCTGTGGCCCATTTCAGAGAGCTCCTGCTCTGTCCCTCCTGCTCCGCTCCGTCCGGTCCCGGTGAGACACCGGGCGGCCGTGGTCGCGCCGCTGGGCGAAGCTGCCGCTGTCCCAGGGGCCGGCGGTGCGCGCCTTGCGCAGCAAGGTCAGCAGCTCGGACCGGTCGCCGCAGGCGACCGGACCGGACGGCGACCGAGCTGGGCGGGTCGAGAGGCCGGGAAGATGAAGATGGAAAGGGGGTGGAGAAACGGGATCTCGGCTGGTATTAATAGGGTTTCAGACATTGGTGTCAGACATTGGTGTCATTATAGACATTGGTGTCATTATAAGTGTTCTCTTTCTTTATGTTTTTTTTTTGGGGGGGAGGTCTCAAGAGTCCAGAAACAGTCGTGCATGTGTTGTAGCTTTGAGGTGTGCTAACGAGGCGGTCACGACGTGCAAACACCAGTGACTTGGTATCGAATCTTGGGATTGTTCCTGATCCAAGCCATAAGATTTAACAGTGAAAAAAAAAAAAACTTTCAGGTTCCATCTTCATCTTCCCGGGTGTAGATAGCTCTGTCATCTTCTTTCCAGCTGGATGGGCTGGCACCCCAGGCGGACCTTATCCGATCGGAGTCGCTTTGAAACCTTCCCACCGGTCCCACCGGCAACAGGTATGCGTGGCTTTCAAAACAGCAAGATCCAAAATGATCCAAACATCAAACCATATCAAACCAAACACCATTGGAACCCGCCAAAAACCATTGGAACCCGCCAAAACCTCCAAGAAACATTGGTCACCGGCCCGACATGTAGATTCGACTCCAGTGTCGACATACTGCCCCTATAGGGCTCCAAGTGCCTCCTTAGCAGATATCTATTAGAGTGTGTCTATCTAGACCCTCCAAACCCCCTCCTAAAACAGCTAGAGGGACTACCTCCAAGAATCCGATCCTGACACATCCCTACCTCTTTCACGCTCGCTCGGTTCGTATAGTTCCCTCGCTTCGGTTCCCCAATGTCTCTGACCTCCGAACGAAGCCTTACCGGCTCAACGAACCGAACCGAGCCACGGCAGTGTGAGATCTCCACATCCCGGGCGGCCAACTCCGCTTTCCTTAGAAAGGTATTAAATGCCTTGCTGCAGTCGTAGAAAAGCTGCGTTGGGCTTGAGCGACCTGTTCTAAAGTTGAGTTTTCCATAGAACCACCGTGACTTCGGGTAGTAGGTGGCTCCGTCGTCGAGTGTTCTGCGGCGTGTCGGCGTGCGAGAGTCGCTGGGAAGTGATCGGGTGAAAAACACTGGACCTATATACCCTAGGGCTCCTGGCCCACCTCCTGAGAAGGAGGTTGGGGTGGGTTTGGGGGGTCTAACCACCTTCTGAGGATATGGTTGGAGCCCCAGGGATAACTCAGTTGCTGCGGATTGATCGTCTGGGAAGACCGCACCACGCAAATCCGCAGTGAATACCAGCAAAAGAACACCATTGCATCGTCCCACGGATTCCCAGGTCTTGATATGTCTTCATGTATCTCACTGCTTATGAACCACTCGCGCTACTTGGCTGGCCCACCATGCCTGCCCATCCTTATCACTGCCGCGGCACAGCTGCCGGACGGACATCCGCGTCACCTCAATGTGCGCGGTGGGAATGGTGTCATCCGCCGCCAGCATGGACGCCATGGCCAAAAAAAGAACACGGAGAGGCGCTGAATGGAGAGGCTGCGTGGGTGGCTGCTGGCTCGGGTTCTCTTGTTGTGTCTTGGGCTGAGCCCCAGGAGATGGAGAATCCGTACCTCTGTCGGTAAGACAATTGGATCCACCCATTCTGACATCACGCTTCAGCCATCAGCGGGTGATGAACTCTGCGTTGTTCTTGGGCCAGGCATCCTCCAATCTTCGACTTCGGAAGAATTCGCAC